TACAGAAGTGATCACAGGGGCTTCATGCATTTGCATAGAGAAATTTGGAATTTATATCAAGCCCAAGGAAACCATGACCCCTACCCAGGCCCCCAATTCAGTCAGAAAGATGCTGCCCTTCTGGGGCAAATGGTTGATGCCTAGTGCAGGAAGGCTGAGAGCCACTGGTAGGTTCTAGTTCACACCAGCTGGCCTAGAAGGAATTCCCATTGCTGCAACAATGGACTTTCAGAAGGTTCAGACCAAGAAACCTCTTCTTGGGTGAAGAAGGAAAATTCTGTTGGGTTCCCTAGACAGCTAGGAAGACTCTGAATAGGAAAGTCTTTTATCCCCAGTCAGTGTCTTAGAGCACAGGACCCTGGAAGTGGTGGTGATCCATCAGTTTGCTCACCTCCAGGTACTTGAGTACTTTAGGAATCCTGAGGAAGCCAGAAGAGTCTAGCCAGGCATGCTGACCCCCTAGAGCCTACTCTCTTGGATTTTGATCTGGGTGCAATGTTCTGAATGTTTAGGTGAGCTATCCCTGCCTTGAGATTTCTCAAATGAAACCTTCCTTTCTCCTCCCATCTACAGCAACCCTGCTGCTTGTGGTGCTACCTGATCTCCTGGTCCAGCTGCTGCCTCTTGCTGAGCTGTAGCCCTCTCCTGCCTGCAGTTCATGGGTCTGAGTGTTGAAAGGAGGCCCAGGGGCAAGAACTTGGTGGTTCTCTGAGGTCTGATGTAGAATGAAGATTGCAATCATTTTGGGTATATCTAATTTAGCATTCATGACTTCCATAGACACCCAAGAACCTGCTGGGTCTGTGGGTGAAATTTTATGCTCTGACTTCAAATTTACTACCCTTTGACACTTTGCTGTCGTCAAAGAGCAGTGTTTGTCTGCGTGGTCAGCTGTAACAGTTTTAAAGCAAGTGTTATGTGATGAATGTTACAATCTAGGAAATAAATCATTTATAAGCACACCTTGATTTCTGTGACTAGTTATTTCTATAGGTTGAATTATTTGTTTGAGAACCTCTCCTAAGGTGTGTGTATCTGGAGTTTTCTCCAGTCCTGCCCAGCCCCCACAGACCCCACAGCCACTTATAAAACAAACACTCAGAAGCTTATATTAATTAAAACTGCTCAGCCATTAGCTCAGGTCTACTACTGACTAGCTTCTACATTTAAACTCAGCCTATTTCTGTTAATCCGTATGTCGCCACATTTTCTGTAGCTTTACCTGTGTGCCATTACATGCTGCTCCTTGGATGGTTGGCTGGCGTCTCCTGACTCAGCCTTCCTGTTTCTGCCTGGCTAGTGGCCAATCAACTTTTTATTTATCAACCAATCAGAGCAACACGTTTTCAGCAAACAGAACATCTCACAGCACCTCCCTTTTCTAATAAAAAAGGAAGAGCCTAACTTTAACATAGTAAAATTACATATAACATACAATTATCAAGCAAGAATTACAGTTACAATATCTAGTCTATTTGTATTTTTTAAAATTAAAAAAATATTTTGTCTGCCCCATGTTTGTGAGTCAAAATTTTATATCTAACTTATCTTTTACTATAACCAAGGAAAACCATAACTATAATTATATAGTCTTAAACTACATCAAAGACCTCAGAAGGATATGATATTACCTGAGTAACAAAAAGTGTATTGTAAGCAACTTCCAAAAATCTAGAGTGACAGAGATAGCTGGCTGCCTAGACAGTCACCCAAAGTTCTTCTGCA